ATTTATGGAATTGTAACTGTTGATGGAAATGAATAAAAATATTGTTATTAAGGCACTATGTGTGTTGAAATTGAGGATGTTATCCTCAATTTCTGCTCTGATAAAAACATGGGGAACTATTGCGAAAACTGCAGAATTGACAGGAAAGTGTTTTCAATCGAATGCAAGCAATGGTGAGCGAGCAAAATATCAAGATCTTGACAGTGTTCCCTCTAAGTATGAACTCAAGCCATTATAACTTTTAAAATTAAATATGATTTGCACTGTTCTGATATTGGTGCAGTTTTTTAGCAAAATATTAAGAAAACTAAATTGCATGTGGTGATTAATACGGTAAAAAACGAAAATGATGTTATTTTCCAGTCTTAAAATTCAGTTGTGTAAAGAAAAAAAAAACCACTTCATTATTAAGCATGGAGGTATTGGTGAGAGTGGGCAAGTGCATATATGCAACATTGGTTTAGTTGCACTGGGTGTTGGTAAATGTGAAGTGTTCACCAGTAAGAACACGTCTCTTAGGTGGTGCTTCGGTGACAGACAGCAGTGTAATGCACAGTTCATTTTGGTGTGTTAAAGGCAAGTGTTGACCTCATGTAAAGCCTCAGATTATTCTTGTAGGAGGCTTTCTGTACTGCAAGCCTGTGAAAGTTTGAGCATAAGCTAGAGTAGTTCTACACTGATCTGGAGTGCTTTCCAAATTTGAAGCCTAGTTGAACTTGATTAGAAATTGGGAACTCCTGCTCGACACTTCTTGTTTATAAACAATACACTTTTTAAATTACACTTCTAACTTTTTTTTTAATCACTTGAAGAGGTTTCATTTAAGACATGCAACTGCAGATGTTTTTTTATTGTTTTCTGAGGAGGAGAATTGTTAGAATGCAAAACTTAGGTTTGTTTGTACTGTTCAGAGGAAGGCTGTTATTGCAGATACATCTTTTAGGTAAACACTGTCTTTAAAAGTTTAAAGAATATTAATTCTATTGTTGGTAGGTGTGTAGGGTTATGGTAGTCTGATAAAAGTTCAGCCTCCTCTGAAGATAAGCTTGGTAACTTAATGTTTCACTGCATAAATGCTGTATGTAGATGCAACTTCTTTTTTGTGTCTTTGATAATTCTGCAGAGGCATTTGCTCAGCCTGATAGTTTTGTTCGTGCTTCCCCATGTCAGTGGGGGGGGACTTTATGTCCACGTTGTCTTCATTTTCTACTAACATTTTCTGTAAATTGTGTGTTTGGATTGATAACATTCCACAAAATTCTGACTGCTTGTTCTTTGCATTGGTGAAAGCGTAATAGAAAGTGTTAATAGTTTAAAATGGAGGAGAAAGATTTGGAAGTAGGCTATAGGGCAATGAAGATGACTCTATAAGAGTCGTAGAATCATAGAATGGCCTCGGTTGAAAAGGACCACAAAGATCATCTAGTTTCAACCCCCAGCTTTGTGCAGGGTCACCAACCACTAGACCAGGCTGCCCAGAGCCACATCCAGCCTTTCTAGTATAGTGCTCAGAGAACTGAAATCCACAAAGCTGGAGTCTGAGTTTGTCTTCCTAGCACGAGGCTCATGAATCCCAATTTCCTAACTGACTACAATGGACTTGATTCTCAGTGTAGGCAGGATGTTGTGCTGAATTAACTGCCAACACTAGTGCGTGACACCCCCAGGCTGGGAATAAGTACTTGCGCTGCTTGTGTAGAGGAAACACGGGATCGTACATTCTCACTTATTCTGTCAGAAACAAACAACCCAACATGTAAGGAAGGGATGTTTAGCTGAAGATACTTTGACCCTTAGTATGGATGTTGAGGGAAGAAGGAGTAAATTAATTGTTCCTTTACAGAAGTATAGTGCAAACAAACATAAAGCTTCCTAAAAGTTGATGTTAAAGTTTATGGGAAACTGATTCTCATGCAGGAATCTGATTGGCCAGCACTTCCGAGTGTTTAATTATACTTGTATTATAAAACACACAGGAGGAAAGTATGACTTTTTTCGTCCTGTGTTGCCTTGATTATTATGATAGCTATGTTGAAAAGTACAAGGACTAGCTTATTGGATTACTTGGGATATGGAGAGAAGGGTGGTTGTCTCATGTAATTATGCCTTTTTCTTGCCAAGATGTAACTGGTTAGATTTTTTTAATGATTATTTTTTATTTTAAGTCTGCAAAGTTAATCTAAAATGGCCAGCTTTCAGGTTGTTGCATGGCTGAGCCTGTCTGGGAGCACTGGGTTATATTCATTATTTTGAAGTTATCTTCATGAGAGCTTGTTTAGACTGTCGGGCTTCCATGTACATGGTAGAATCTTGAATCATCTGTGACAGTCAGAAACCACAGCCATGGTTGGTAGGGAGGTAACTGGTTCTAAATTTTAAGTACGACAGAGGAATTCAGTTCCTCAAATGATATGTTCTGGTTCAAAGGGTTGTTTAATTCCTGAATGTTCATTATACTGTCTACTCCAAAGCCAACACTTATTTTCCTGACAGTCATTTAGGTAAAGCCAGCTGTGTCAGAAATGTGGATTCCTTCTACTCTGAGACTGATGCATGTGTCTGATGAATGGAGATAGTTTGCTATCTCCGTTTGTGCAGTTAGTATGGCAGAGAACGCCTCTTCGCTTGGTTTGGCCACTCATGTGGAAGAAAAGGCACTGAATCTTATTACATTTCCTTGTGCTAAGGAAGCTACGAAGTGCATTCATGGTATTGCTACCTACCCAGTAGAGTAGCATAAGACGTTCAACTGCAGACGTGATAATGGTAAGTAAATATAGACATTCCACTACTTAAATTAATTTCAGTACCTAAAATCCAACTTCTGTAGGAAATTGACTCCTTATTTGCTGGAAATAGGAAGGTTATATGGGTTTTGGTTTGGAAATTTTTGTGTTTATTACAGTGGTAATTGAATATTGAGTGTAAGCTGATGTTAAATACTTTCGACCTAAAAGTCATCAAAAATGCTGCCGGTATATCATGTATGTATTTTTGTTTTTTTTTTTAAGCATAGCAATCTTAGCAGTTTGGAGGGATTTTTCCATGAACACAGGTATTAAAAGAGCCAGGAACTGAATATATTAGGTACTGAGTTACTGGCTCCATGTGTAGCATTTCCTGTTCATTTTTTTTCAGTTTTCTCTTCTTCAGAGAGATGAAGAAAGCACCTGTGGTCAACATTGGATATTTAAAAACTTTTACTCAGCGTAGCTAATTTGGAATAAGAACGCTTCCTCTGAGTTCAGCAAAGGCGACTTAACTTCATAGATTCCTCATTAGTAACAGTTTCACCAGAAGCACATACACGAAGTTGACTTCAGGACAGTTTCGCTAGACTAATTTCATTCACATTAACATACTTTTTTGAAAGTGTAGGTGGTTTACGCTTGCTTTTGAATTAAGATATGTTCTGAAGAAAACCACAGCAAGGTACTTTTCTAAAAAGCTGTCAGAATCTGCAAGAAGTATGTTGCAGATTTCATGCTAACGTAAGACTTGAATGAATATAAAGGGGAAAAAAAAAACTGTCATAACTTGTCTTGCTGTGAGCCGTAGATGGATATCAGCCTTGACAGTGAGTACAATGGAAGCTGGTTTCAGAATACTAATGGAAATTTTCTGTGAGAACAATCCTTCAGTTAAAATTAGGAAGGGCCTGGAAGATCATAAATCTATCGGATTTAAAGTATTCTGTTATGGAGTTGCAACATGGTTTTGCTTATCGTTGTGATCTTACAATGGGAATGGTGTAATAAATGATAGTTAACAGTTCATAGTGGCTTACTAATCTGATAAGTATCGAGTTAGGTTTATTGATGTTTTGAGCCGTTGGGATTGTCATGTTTCTGTACTAACAAAAATTTGGTGTTAGCTGATCAATAAGTCTCAGACTAAGTAGTTCCTGCTTTTTGGTCTTTTCTAAGGTTGAAATTAGTAGGGATTTCTAATGGGAAGTACTGAGGCTTGTTTTTCTGTAATGCCAAGAGCTAAACCTTTACAGTTTATTACCCTCAGAATAACATTTTGAAGAGAACTGCTTTCAGTGGATAATAAAACATGAGGAGTACGCAGATGAATTGTGAAGAAGCATTGCTGATGTTATGCATTTCAGAAGTGAAGCCTCCTGGTTTATAAAGACACTCTGAGGTTCACTGAGGTGTACACGGAACTCAGGTACAAATTGCAGTGGGGTGAATCAGAGAGCGGTCACATTTCAGCAAGGATGGTGCAGATTGCCCTCAATAATGGCTCAGCCTAAAGTGTCTGTTTTGGTACAGAGTTGCACTGGAGCGCTTATGGCTTATGTCATTTTTTGTGGAGTTGGTCAAGTACAGTTGCAAGTCGATGATTGTCCACTTATATTTTGTAGTCTTAGAAAAACAACAGATATTAGAAATAACACTTTTAAAGCATCTTTTAAATTTCTATGCCCCTTTCAGACAACCTTCCTCCCTCCCCCCTCCCCCACCCTCCTTGATGCAGTGATTGACAACAAGGGAGGCCCCTCTCAGAGGAGTACTAAGGAGCGTATTTGTTTGGAATTTAGAGGGTTGACCTAGGAGTGGTAGAACTGCTTATCTTCATTCCTTCAGAAAACTCAATAAACCATTCTTGTCTGCTCCCTGAGAAAATTTCAGGTTGTGTGACAGTGGGAGAAAGAAATCCTCAATTTATGGGCACAGTAATATAATTATGTGTGGCTTAACTAAGCTACTAGCAAGTATGTAGTACAGGGTTAAAAGCAAAATAGCCAGGTAGGTAACCTGGCAAACCACAAAGTAAAAGAACTTCATTTGGCTGTGTTACAGCTTTGTGGGATCGTTCTTCTTATTAATCAGTCTGTCCTTTTCCTGTGAAAGGTAGATATACTTTAACCAGGCATCATCTAGCAGCCACAGCGAGATGTGAAGGGAATGTCAGGTGGTGGAGCTTGCCCAGGTTCAAACATCAGTTCAAGAGCAGACGCAGGTTCCTTGGACTTCGTGTGGAAAGGTAAGGAGATTCTGTTCTGGCTAGTATGGCCATCAGGGCCTCTTCATCTTGGTAGGAATTTTAGAAGAATGGCAAGTAGAGAGTAGGAATATATCAAAGGGAGCTAGGGAAGTCTGAAGTACCTCTGTAAGAAAAGATGTTTCAAACTTAGTGAAACAGAAAAACTAAATGAAGAAATACCATTAGTGTGTATAACGGTGTTTCAAATGCTCTGCTCTGAGAGGTGAGTGTGATACCCTGCAGCTGATAATTGCAAACCTGCTGTTTTGAAGTGATGGACTAATTGCCACAGTGACAAAAAAACAAGAGGCAGCCCTGAATATCTGCTGTACCTGTTCCAGTGCCTGACCTGTTCTTCAGTATAGATGAAGAGTTAGTCCATTCTTTTTACAGTTATTAAATGAATATGTTTCTCACTGCTCTTAACAATCCCATAAAAGGTAAGTAAAAGTGGAGAAATATGAACTTAATAGGGCTTTATGAGGCCTCCATAATGAGTGATGTTTAGGAAACATCGTTTTTGTAGTGAAGCCTGCACATTGAGTCTTGATTTGCACACTTTAGCCCAGGGCATGCAGTGACTGAGAATAGGTGTTCCACCTGGGAAGCTGCAGTGACACAAAGCCCACTTAGCAGCCTCTTTAAAGATCTCAATTTGAGAATGACCTGAAGGGTTCCCAAATACAACACCTGGTTCCTCAAGCTCTGCATCCTGTGGGAGAGAAGTGACAGAGCATTTCTTGGGACTAGGTTGGGATGCTGTTAAAGATTAGGCAGCACAGGTAGCGCAGGTGTGTGTAGTCTGCACTAGAGACGTGCTCGGAAATGAAGCTCTTTGCATTGATCAGTATGAGCTTCTGCAGGATTGCCAGCAAGAAGGATGGTAGACTTTAGTCTGAAGATGTTCATTTTTAAGTTGCAGCAGAGTTTACATTTTTTTTATACCAGAAAATAAACTGTCAGATGCAAAAGCCTGTACCAGGTGATAAAGCAGGTAGAAATGGCAAATATATTCTGTCTTATCTTATTCTAAGCTTCGTTTTGTCAGGATTCTCTCTCCTTACTAAGATGAAAGAGGATCGAGAATAGATGAGGCTTTGTGTATCCTGAGTGCTCACGGACAACACACAGAAGCATTTGTTTCATAGGCAGCCTTCACTGGGGAAAAGTTGTCAGTTTCTCTGCAGGTGAGTAGTTATTTTTGAAGACTCAATGGGAGATGGGAACATTCCTGTAGAAGGAATGGGAGACAAAGCATCCAGTGGAGACGGGGTTGTATATTCTAAGTTCTTGGTGACACGCAGGTGAGCAGCTTTGAACTAAAACACCTTGTGCTGTGTGCAAAGATGTCTCCTTATGACCAGAACTGCTTCTCCAGATAATCTGTGACCTTGTTTCCTTTGTGCTGGCTTTTTCCTCTGGGCATCAGCAAATGAGAGGGGAGAGCCAGTACTGTACAGCTAGCTTGACTTCTCCAGACCTAATGACCAACTAAAGTAAAAAGGGAAGAGGAATTGTGCATTGGTGCCTGCTGCTTTGGTCCAGCAGAATCCTCAGACAGGCAGACTTTTCAGAATTAAGACCAAGTGGTATGCCAAGTTTCCTGAACATGACTTATCTCAGAAATACACTGGTTGTAGGCTATAAACAACAGTCTGGTGATAGGTTGGTACTCAATTACAATTTTACCATATTCAAAGTGGTGGATGGTAATGATCAGCAGAGTTTACTACTGTGCCTAAACAAATAATGTCTTAAGGGTCCAACACATGCCCCTGGGAATCTGTATGATATTAAAGCCGCCTTTCCCCATTTTGATACCTTCATTCTGAAGCAAAATCTGCTTTCTCAAAGGAAAAATTGTCCCCTCTTGTATCTGAAACACGCTGAACCCAACTTCAGGTTTATCTAAAGCCTGCCATTTCTAGGCAATATAAAGAGCTATCTTAAATTCATCTGTTGAAACTTCAAATCTCGATCATTAGAATTCTTGAAGGGAAAAAAATACCAGAAACAAGGTGTACAGAGTACCTGGAACTCTGGAGATAAGAGTAAATACTCGCAGCTCCTTGAGGGGAAGGAAATATAATTCCTTACAGTTTGAGAAGAAATATGGTAAGATGATTTTCATATATTAACATGCCCATTTACTAGTATATACTTAAAAATATTTATGTATCCCTGAAACAGGAAGCTTCATGACTACCTTATGTTTAAAGTAGATTCTTTTTATACTTTAGTGCAATAACACAGATTTGCCAGGTAGTTTATGTAGTAGCAAGTCATTCAGTCACAAATAAGCAACTGATCTAGAAAGTGTCATTACTGAATGATGGTATTCCCTCATACAATCTCAGTTCCTGTTAGCTCCAGTGTCTTTCCCAGCTGGAATACTAGTTACCTAAAATAAAAAGCAAAACTTTCAGTAGTGCAGAAATTTGATACTTAAATTGGTAAATAGAGCAGGCTGTATTCTAGACAAAATGTTCACGTGGTCTGAATTCATTTATTCAGATCAAATTATCAACTTGTAAGAAACACGGTTCTAACTCTTCAGCTAGTCATACATTTAACCATAGAACACCTTCAGCTGTCTCTTCCCATGTGCTGATTTCATAACTTGTCCTGCTTTCATACAGCTCCTCTTACTTGCTGAGTATGCATTCTCCTTCCCCAAAGGAGCAATTCAGGGAACACCACCACGTAGGTGGTGAGCATGCATTGTAACTAGGAACTAAGTTGCAGATTGTCTGGGAGAAGTCGCAAGTAGCTGTTCTTCGTGGCTCAGAAGAGAGGTTTAGCAAGCTATGTCTGCAAACAGGTCTGTGGAGGAATCATGGTCTTCTTCAGAAGCACCATTACTGCCAGAACTAAAAGTGGTATACAGCAATAACACCATAGTACCACTGGTCTATTTAATATTCCAGCAGTGTGGGGAACAAATGGTTCGGCATACCTTCAGGAACTTTGGCAGCTGCTGTCTGATGAGGGCAACATTGATCAGCTATCAGCTGTAGAGAAGCCTGGCTTTGCAGAACTTGCTGCTGAGCCCAACTCCTTAAATTTTCTCATTAAAGCTCATATTCCTCTTACAGCGGAGCTTTACCGTTGGGTTTTGTGCTCAATTTATACATAACAGTTAATACTAGCAGATCGCCCATATGCATCAAGAAGTTTCTTCAAAAAGCTTCAAAACTCATCCTTGTGTATGAGGAGAAATAAGTCTCTCTTCAGGCTTATGCAGCATCATCTTGTGCATCAGTCTGTTAGCATAAAAGAGAATTTTTATGCTTTTGTCATACCCCATATTCTTGCCAGGAAAACTTAACATTTATGTCCCATTATTATTTTTGTCTCTAGCCATTCTAAAAATGCCTATTTTTTGCTGTACATCATATAAATGAAGGAAAAATGTCCAACATACTGCATACATCCTCAGTCAACAAATGGTAATCAAAACAGCCTTGGTTATACAGCTAGCACTAACCATTTCTGTGAAGTGGTTAATGAAAGATTTAGCTGAAGTGCAAATAATGTTTTTTTTTTTGAGGGTGATAATAAATGTTGTTTAGCTCTTACCCTACACTGTTCCTAAATGCTTCATGTTCTCAGAGAAACCGGTTGCTCAAACTAAAAATATCACTCGGAATGCTGACCTAACAAAAACACTTCAGGCATCTGCTGTTGTACCTACAAAAGCTAAAGCAGTGGACTTCAGGGTACCAGCTTGCTTGTCGCTACTTAAAAGAAAAAAAATCTCTATATCAGGGTTTACATGATCAATAGCAGGAGGCGTGACAGATTTTATCAGTAGAAAGCCTTCCCTCATACAAGGTGACAATCTTTAGCTGCACTGAGGCTTTTTTCCACTTTAACAAGTCCTGTGTGTTGTCTAGAACTCAGCTATGTGAAGACTTGAAGTGGGGGGAAATTTTTCACTATTTGAAAGGGGAAAATAAATAATAATAATAATAATAATAATAATAAAATAAAAAATAAAAACAACCTAGTCGTGTACAAATAAGACAGTAATTCATAATTTAAAGTAGAAAAGATACATTCAAGTGCATCAAGGGGGACAAAAAAACCCAAACTATTAAAGAACTATTTAATCAAGGCACCTAGGCAACTAATAAAAATTGTGGAAGTTCAGTTGAACACTTTTGTTTTGCCTGCTGCAGCCTCTCCCTACTCCAGCACTACAAAACAAAGGATAATAGATCTGGAAATGACAAAGAGAGCAGCAAAGATGTCCAAAAGTACAAAGGTGTTCTCTTGAAGAAAAATTAATGATGTAAGTTAAAAATGCCAAAAAATCAATTCATTTTCTAAAGGATGGCTTGCTGAGGAGGTGAGGTTAATTTTATACAGTGATAAGCAGCAATTGCACTACGTAAGAGATGATTTTTTTTCCACTATCTAACTCAATAATTTCACAGTACTAAATGAAAGTTCTTGAGCCATTCCTAAGCATTGTCACCCTCACAAGCAGAATTAAGTGGTGGAATGCCTTTCTCTGTGACTGTGGTGGGTGTTTATGCTCATGGTAGTTCAAAAACTAATTTGAAACTCAGTGAAAAAATTCCTTTTCAGGATATGCCCAAGATTCAAATCAGAGTCAAGAATGTTCTGGGAAAGTATTATATTCTTGTTATGTTTTTATAACTCTTTCCTAGGTATCCCCTGTTGGCCATCATCACAAGCAGGTTGCTCACCTGGATGAACATTTGCTGATCCAGCACAGCTATTTTATGTATCCGTTGAGTATCTCTTGTGAAAAACTTGCACTGCACTTTGAGTCTTACAGGTCTCATCTTATTTATGAGAGGCACAGGTGCTGCATCACCTAGTCTGTACCAGAAGTGCATGTCATCTTATGAGTGCTTTCCTGACACTTTCTAGTTCAGCAGAATCGAGGGAATGTGGCTCAGGCTCCTCCTCAAATGTGAGAATTTCACTCATTAACCATCAAGCTATCAGTGGAAACAAACTCAGGATGTGACATACTTGGTGAAAATAGTTACCTTTCCAGGACAGGATTTTCTTTAAACCCCATTCTAAACAGATAATTTCATTTAGATTGAGCTCTTAAACATGTGCTATAACATTCTTTTAACTATTTCCATTGGTACAGCTCTTCTTTTGCAATTTTTTTCTTGTAAATTCTCAAATCCAGCCACCATGAAAAATGAAAAAAATCCTCAATATTAGGTTAAATTCGTACCTAAACAGCTTATCTCTTGCTCTTATACTACAAAAACTGGAGATTATACCTTTGCCAAACATTTACCACAAACCTAATGTTAATTTCTTCAAGCATATATGTAGTGTCTCCTCTATTGGTCTAATGCCTCTCTTTACAGGTATTCTCTGTTGGGGTTTTTTTGGGGGAGGTTTTTTTGTTTTTTTTGTTTGTTTGTTTTTGCCTATATTTCTTTCTTTATTTCTTGTGGTCTGTGAATTATTGCCTTCTGCAGCCACTTTGCAAATTTCCACTCTACATCCTTGTTTTAATGTCCCATGAACTACTATTTGTCAGAGGACAAATTACTTTCACTTCTAATATACTCCGTTCTTCTCTCTGTAATTTAAAAGACAAACTGTGCAGATCAATGATCTTTTGAGATGTTTCACCTATCTTTCTTAGCAAATTTTTCCTTTCTTTCTGACATTTTGTTCTCCCAAAGCAGCTCCCCTTCCCTGTTCTTCTAAAGACAATTCATGTGGGATTTTGCCCAGTAATCTAAAGGCTCTGTTGCTGTGTCCAGAGGTTAACTTATGCCCTGGCTTATCCCTATCCAATTTAATCTTGTAATATTGTGGATCAACTCGTGGTTGGAGAATGTGGTAGTCCAGGAAGCAAAGGTAAGAGCCCAGTCCCATGGAGGGCAGCACGCGATCACACAAGCAATGAGTGCAGGTCTGTACAGACAGTGCAGGGAGCTGACCCTCGAAAGGCTGTAAATCTGATTACTAGCAGACTATTAATTCAGTAACAGACAAATGCACGTGACTGCATTTGTAACAGTAGAACCAGTTTTCTTTACCTAAATGCTAATAATTATCTGAATTCATGAACTGAAGCGGTAACTTGGTGGACGTTCTTAAAGTTTTCATCTGAAAAGTTGAATTGCCTGTTAATGCTTAATTTTCTTGGGATCTGAGTCTGTTCACATTTCTTACCTATTTGCTGAATGTTCTTTTGAAATTTATTTCAAGAAAGCTTTCTGCTGAAAAGTTCAAGTTAAAAATGGAAGTGAATCCTTTAATTTCAGCTTCTGGAAAGGTCCCACAGAAATTATCAGAACTTGTGGGAAATGATGCATAAGGGAAAACTAATTCCTGACAGGTTAGATGTGAAGGATTGTATGATGCAAGTTAGCCTCAACAGCCTTATCCTTGAGAAAAACAAGTAAATTTGAAAAGGAGACATTATAGACTGAAGACAAAACCAATAAGAAAACCTGAAGGGCAAAAGCAGACCGTATGCAGAATAAACTAAATGCATTCTGCCTATGTGAATCTGTACTATAGCTTGCTGCCTAAAGAAACATATAAGATTAAACTAAAACACAAAAACAACAAAAAGCAATCTCATTTTGTTAAATAGGATTTCTGTTTTGCTGGCAAGCAAATCTCCTCAATGTTTTTCAGTGTAGCAGAAGTCAGGCATGGGCTGTAGAGGGTGCCCCGGGGTTGCACTACGGTGGAGGAGGATGGGGTAAAGCAGGTTGTGGCAGTACGTGGCCAGCAGAGCAAAACTGCATTGAGGAAAATCTTGAGTCTTCTCAGATAATGAGGTGTAATTACTGCCAAATAGGAATGTGTCAGTTTTATGTGAAATAAACATATGCTTGAACTTTGAATCTGTAATTTAGAAGAAATTTTACATAAAGTACAGAACTCAGATAGAAGCAGAATCTGACTTCTTTTCCTGGCTGCTGCTGGTTTGCTTTGAGAGTCACTTCCTATGTCCCAAATAGAGATGTGATGACTAACATAATATATGAAATATTTTAAATGTTACACATTTTAAAGAGTTATTCCTTATTAAAAGCATTAAAAAAAGAAAGACAAAAAAATCCCAAGAAGAACTGAGAGGATCAAGTTAGAAAGCAGTAAAAATGCATATTCTGAGGAAAATTAATTTCCTCTGAACAGGCTGCACAGAGCCTTGCTGTAAATGTGCACCTTATTTGTGTGGGTGTTTTTTTTTTTTTTTTAAATGCCTAATAGAAAACATGTGGACTGGCATGAAATAATACTGTGCAGGCACTCTTAAGGAAATCCAATCCTGCCTGGGGCTTGTGCCAGGCTCTCTGAGAAAGGTCAGCATGCTGAAGTCAAACTGCAGCATTTCACCTGATGTGGAGGTCAAGGGAAGTGTTGCATAAAATGACAACCATCTGAGGGATGTGTCTGAAAGCTATTTTCAGCTTTCGTTTTCTAGATATTGACTTGTGTTCCCAGTGACGGTTTTTCCTTCAGAGAGTTAGGGGCTTTTGCTGTGCATTTGTGAACATGGCTTGTCTTCTCAACAGCACTTTTCCACGTGTCCTTTGCCCAGATATGCCCGTATGGGATTATACACCAAGTAAAAGGCAACGCCTGCTTCTCAAGGTAACTAAAAAATAGGCGCTTCTGGCTGAGGAGGTCTTCTCATGTTTGCAGCCCAGAAGCCCTTCTCGCTGTGATTTCCCAGGAGCAGCTGCTGAAACGTTTGTGTGTGTGCGCAACGGCCCATCTTCCCCTCATCTGCGCTGCCACAACTTGGAGCCTCACGAGCTGGGATAACCACAGTGCTGACAAGCATTCAGACAGCGCGGGATCTCGTGACTTGCTCCGCACCAAGAGGGCTGTTATGAACGTGAAGACGGCTTGAAGCCTTCCTCTCCAGCAATAAACTACATTCCAAACAACGCGTTCCGTCTCGGTTCTCTGTAACTTTTAGGGGGAGCCGAGCGGCGCGCGCACAGCGGGGCGGGGCGGGAAGCGCAGGGCCCGCCTTCCCCGCCGCCAACAAGATGGCGGCCGCGGCACCGCCCTCGCCCCGTCACGTGCTGCCGGCGGCGGAAGCGGCGCGGCCTCCCCCGCTGGCTGGGAGCCGGCTCGGCGGCACCATGGGCTGGCTGCGGGCGGCCGGCGAGAGGCTGCGGCAGCGGGTGAGGGGCGCCGAGGCTCTGCGGGAGACGTGCCGGCAGTATCCCCTCTTCTGCTGCTTGCTGCTGGGACTGGCCGCCGCCACCCTGCTCCTCAACCGGTAATCCGGCGGGGGGGAGGGGCCCGCTGCTGTTTAGCCGTGTGCTGCTGCTTCCTGGCCGCGCTGCAGCCCGCCCTGTGCCGCGGCACCGCGGAGGAGCGCTGATGTGCGTACCGGCATGAAGGGAAACGTCGTCTTTCCTTGTTTTTCGTAAGGTACCTTCACGTTCTGATGATCTTCTGGTCGTTTGTGGCTGGCGTCGTCACCTTCTATTGCTCGCTGGGACCGGACTCCCTCCTGCCCAACATTCTGTACACTATCAAATACAAGCCCAAGGTAAGCACGCGTCCCTCTTCACGTTTGGAGGCTGTGCACGTGGATGGCAATTCGTGTGCAGCCCTACTTTTGAAGTATTAGATATCGATACCACTTATATCTACGTGCTGGCGGCTCTCGTGGCACGCATGTGGTGATTAGGACTGTGGATTCCTCCTGTGTTTATGCATAATCCCATCAAACCTATGAGTCTGCAGATTGGTCCCTGAAACTTGTTGCTGGGAGCCTCACTGGATGTGGCCTTTTAACCTTTTCGCTTATTTTTCACTTGGCATTTCAGTAGTAAGTAGCTTAGAAAGTACTTAGTAGCATATTACTTTATGAATACTTTTTTTTTTTTTTTTTTAAGATACCTTTTCTTTCGGTAGCTAATTTTGGCTACAGCTTTATTGATTGTAGTCAAGCTTCTTTTAGTGGTGCTGAACTCCATAGGAAAAAAAGCATTTCTATAGGAGAGAAGGGGACAGGCTCTTTAGCAAGGTCTGTGGCAGTGGAACAAGGGAAATGGCTTTAAGCTCAAAGAGGGTAGATTTAGGTTCAGCATAAGGAAAAAGTCTTTTACAGTGATGGTGGTGAGGCACTGGAACAGGTTGCCCAGAGATGTGGATGCCCCGTCCCTGGGGACTTTCATGGTGAGGCTGGATCAGGCCCTGGGCAATCTGATCTAGCTGTGCATGTCCCTTTTCATTGCAGGGGAGTTGGGCTAGAAGGTCTTTAAAGGTCACTTCCAGCTCTAAGAATTCTATGATTCTATTTTATGAAATCCCTGTTTCTGTCTTTAGGGATACAAGCAAGGCAAGACTTGTAGAGAAACCGTTTGTTCTAGTTATAGACCATCTCATGTATGGGGAGATGACTGGAGATGTGAGAGGGTATCTGTCATCCTAAACTTTGTTTAGCAAAAGTGCTTTTTCTGTTTGGTTCAGTTGTTTCTCATATTGTACGTTGCTGCCTTGTTTTCCTGCTGGGAAACAGCTTTGTCTTTCTACCACTCAATTCTCTGTAACTGCATACTCTAAAGAGAAATTTACTAATGTATCAGTATATCATGAGAATCATCATTTCAAAGAATGTAAACTTGTCCAAATATTTTCTCTTAGCAATTGGAATTGCCGGAGCTATTTCCCCATGGTCACAGTTGTGCTGTGTGTGGCAAAGTCAAATGCAAGAGGCACAGGTAAATTAAATATGTGGCACTGACTGTCCTGTTGTTTTGTGCATGTCAGTGGGAAAATTGCAGTATTGTTGCATCAACTTTTCCATGGTTTCCTACAGACCTGCTTTACTCCTGGAAAACTATCAGCCGTGGCTGGATCTGAAAGTGCCTTCCAAGGTTGATGCATCCCTGTCAGAGGTAATGGCTGTTTCATTTCTTTAGTTTCTTGCAGCTCAGTGACTTCTTTAATTATGTGTTTCTTAGGCCTGTTACTTCTGGCTTGATAAATGAGTCAGATGTACTTTGCGTGCATGTTAACTTTTCATTTAACAATCAAATCAGAAGAATAAAGGCTGGGTGCAGAGAGGCAAGATGGCTTATTTGTTAACAGAAACATGACTGTTCCTGAACAGCACCCTTAGAACTCAAGAAGTGTGTGTGCACATTCGGAAGTATAGGAGAAAGATCAGGTATAAGTAAGTGACTGAAAAACATGTCTGATTTCAGTGGATTTCGGTCTGCTTGGTTGGTTGAAATAGTGACAGATTAAAAGATTACCAAAAGGTACCAAAATTCTGTGATGATGTTAAATGTGATTGTAGGTATTTAAAATCATCAGACAAACCGTAACACAACTGATCAAAAAAAAGAAGATACTGGATTTACTCAAAAAGAATAGCATAATTACTTTCTTTTTATTAGATTGTAATTCAGGATTTTTGTTTTCTTCTTTTCTCTTTAGAAAATATACGAAGAGCTGTTTTGCCTTAGGATCATTTATTTTTTTCTCTTTGTTGCTGATTCATGAAGCTCAGTAGATAATCTCTGTCCTTTTTAAAAGCTTATAAATACAGAAACCCTTGGGTGGCTTTGTTTCCATTTATTTAGAATTTCCCCATTGGAGCTCTGTGGTAAAAGGAGGAATAAATGGCATGTCAGAAGTGAACAAAGCCATACATGTCAGCTCTCACAACTGAGAACCTGTGTGCGAAGCCAACTGTAATTCAGCTCTGTCTTCAGAGCATGCCCTTTAGCAAGTTGAAAAACAAAACAAACTCACAAAAAAACCAACATGGGGATAACTTGTTAACTCCCTTTAGTTTAACAGCATGACTTCTGTATTTCATAAGTAATCTTAGCCAGTAAAGTTTTTTGTAGTGTGTTACTCAGAAGAGCTGAGTAGATACTGTAGTTACATTTCAGGGGTGATCTTTTGTTGGTATACAATGACATTTTGTATTTGATTGCTGTTACTGTACTTCTGCTTTTACCAAAACAATGTGGACCTTTTTGTTAGTTTTTTGGTTGTTGTTGCTTTGTTTTTACTTCATTGGCTTCTCTCTGGGCCTACTTTATTTATCAGCATAGACATGGCTTTTCTATATCTATGCTACATTTCTTATTCCTTTCTCTACTTTGAGTGCTTAACTGGAGTTTCTGCGCATTTCTGGTGCAGTGCAGCAGGGTCATAACCTTTGGTGGACCCAAATAGACTTCTGTTCACACACCTGAGTCACCTTTTTCACATGCTGTCTATAATGCTGAATTTCCATTTGTTGTTCCCTGTTACAACTCTTCCGTACTTGTTAAAGGTTCTGCCCGCACTGTGTTCCTTCCTCATCATCCCCTGCACTGGGAATTCAGCACTTAACATACAACTGGAACTAGATATCTGCTTAGGGTTGGAAGGAGAGACTGCTCGTGTTTTCTTTTGTGGGTTACTCACGCGTTAGAGGGAAGCTGATACAGTGAGAAGTGAATTAAGATTAATGAGATTCCAAAGCAGTGTGAAGCTCAGCCTACTTCTGAAAAAGTAGATTCTTCAAAAAATTAGAATAGCTCTGGGTTTTTTAATTCTAGATTAGTGTTTCTAGTTCTTCTTTTGCACGTTGAAACATTCTAGCAATGTTCTCATTTCCAAATGTTTTTTGTTTGAATCATTGTATCAGGTGTAGATTTTCCTTTACTTACAGATAATGCAATTCAAACTTGAATCAGAAGAAATCCAAATTCTTGTCACAATATACGGATTTTTCACCTTAGATCGTGACAACAGTTCATCTTGTTTTGTAGTTTCTTAATCTTCTGCGACCTTGCCTTACTTACCTAGCCCCTCTATTGTTTTGAACAATAAGAGAAACATGTGATTGGACTTTCCTCCCTCCCTTCATGATTATTGTTACAGTTGAGCTCTGAACTCCCTCAGCCATGCATCTATCGGTGTTCAATCGTTTGGGCTGTATCCTGTATAAAAAATACTGCATTGACTTCACTATAATTTTGTTTGCAGTTTTTTTTTTTTTTTTTTTTCCTATTGCCTTTTGCTTTATATTAGTTTCCTGGCGTTTTCTTTCTTTTTGAATTAGGATATTTCTGTTGGTCAGCTTAATCGAGGTGCTACGGATTGCATACAGGAGAATCAAATTCTATTATTCAGGTAGTGAGCTCATCTCTACTTACAAAAGGATATTTGCAAGTCAAACCTACAGAAAACTGCTCATTTGCTTGTGATCAGCATTGTTATGGAAATGGGCTAGTGAATCAGGGTGCTGTCTGTTGATCTCACCAATGTTTCATTCATGTTTAGTTTCTCAGATTCTTGCTCTTAGTATGGGACCAGATTTTTTTTCTCTTCTTTTCCTTTTTTCTTCTAGAAGTGAAAAATGTACAAATGACTGACATACTTCCTGCCAGCCCAGAACTCCTGTAGCTGCCCTGTCACCTGCATGCTTTCATTCTGGGAGTTACTTGTTCTCTCAGGAAGCAGCCTCTGCTTTTTTAGGGCTTTTTATATTGTGTCTATGGTTTACTTATCAAATCCTTGCTACTATCCAGTCCAATTTGGCTTGGTAATTCTCATTCCTCCTCCTGGCAACTGGAGCCTCTACTATGAGAACAAACAGAAAGCTTGTCTCAGCGGCTAGAAACTGATTAGCTGCAATGTTGTAGTACTTGCTAGAAATGAATTTTTCTTTTTTTTTTTTTTCCTCCTCCTGCTTATAATACTGCTACCTGCAGTATGTTTGGTTGTACATTTCTAATCTCTTTCCAATTGAAAACTTCACACATGCTGTAGGACCAGTCATTTTGTGAAATACTTGACAAATAGGTAGGCTTTCAATGAAATGACTCATTATTTCAATTTAGAGCTGGAAAATAATACTTTATAGAAAAAGAAATTGCTTCTCATTAAATGGCATTCTTTGAGATATTCTCTCTGCTTGAGTGATATTTTTGGTGCTGCTGAACTGAAAGTGGATATACATCATGCCTTATGAGAACATGGTGAATGGAGCATCATACTTAACTGCTTA